TAATGTCAAATCTTGGGGGAAATTTTGAGGGTGAAGGAAGGAATAGGCTACAGACAGTGGTTTAATTTCATAGTATTATTCTGAGATGAAGTACGTCAGCCATGACACACAGCACTTCCGTTGCCTTGATGTGCTCTGTTTACACTCAAGATTTCTGGGTAAAAATGTTCTGGACTGACCTTGGTAATGGGTCACTCTGGCATCATTTCCACACACACACTCCCATTCCTACGACCTCACGTTACGTGTGGTATATTCGGGATGTTGTTGATGTCTTCAGTTTGAAGGAATCCCTTCCTGCTGGATGCTCAGCACCATTTCCTTTAAGACTCAACATCAAAAATGAGATACGTGGAAATGACTCACACAGTTGTCCCCAGGGTTCAGACACTTCAACTAAAGTACCATGCTGACAGATTCAAAACAGGATATGAGCTGGATAGGTCTATGTTTATTACAGATGCTAGAATACTTAAGAGCAGTGATAGCTGAAAACTCTGATAAGCACATCAAGCAGCTACAGTACAGACACTCATCCATTGTGATCTACAAGTGGGCTGACAAACACTTAACTCACAAAGCATAGGCACCACAAGTTCTTATTTACAGTGCATTGCTTATTTTCCAGCACAGTAGGCTACTAACTGTATTACAATAAACAAACACGCAGTAAATTTCCCAAAAGCACATGACCTTATAGGCCCAGACTAACTTTTTTGACCTATTTCTGCTTAGACATATAATAATAGTTTTGCTGGCAAGAATGGCTCTCATTAAACATTAACATATGTAGGCTGCACTATTCAATTACTGTGCAACCAGCCTCACTGATGTGTTAGGAGTAAAACCTTTATTTTAGATGCAGTTGGTCTCTTAGTTGGTTCCAGTTGTGTTCAGTCGATGCGCTCTCAATGAACCAACACAAGCTTAAACAAACGAAGATTATAGATAAGCTAATTACTTACAACTGGTCTAACGACGAAATGACAGGAATTTCATTTGAAGACTACATACCTGGATGTGCAAGGACGGTTCTTCCTTAGGCCTTTTCGAAAATGCCGCCATCTTGGATTTTGACAAGTCATGACGTAAACTGCGCGATGCTCTGTGGGATTATGGCCAAAGACCTGCAATTAGGCTAATGAAAGACAAAGGGATGCGACGTGGTCACCACGAAGTATTTACATAATGCAAGAAAATGAAAGAAAAATAAAGGAATCAGCATGATTTGTGTTCACAAGTGCTTTGTAAATGTTCATTGGAATATTTACATAGTGACAAATTCAGATGGGTTACCTGTATGTAGGCCCATGCACTAGAAAACCAGCAGGACAGGAGTAAAGGCCATCTACTAAAAAGGTTTAGCATTATCAGCAATGATCCAGAAAATGTCTGCCAGATGCCAGTGGAATCAAGGAAACATAGGGCACATTTTCCCTAATTCTGTGGTGCTGCAAATACAGGACATGGCCTGAAAGCATAGGACTTACCATTTAGTGTCACCACAGCTAATATTGATTTCTGTGTTTTCTAAAAAATATTGTAAATTAATAATATGTTATAATGAGATTGCAGTGTTAAACTGAAATATAGTATTTACAGGACCATTTGCAGCATTTGGTTTATAGCCTATAATGCAATTAAAAGAATAAAAATGTAAATAACAAGTACATCCCAGTACTTTCATATGTAGGCTACCTTTGACATAGCTTTGTATGTTAATTTGACATAGTTTTTAATTATACAAGAATATCAAACAATATCTCTTTGTCATCTCTCTTTGTCTAGGTGATAACTTGATGCTGTTTTCTCGGAGGCAGCATCTAGCGGCCATGAGATGAACCGCAGCCTAAAACCCCCATCTTTAGAGAAATCACTGACCACGTGTTCATAACTCTGCACTTCCGAGGCAGAAATTCTGTCCCATGTTATTCTGGGTTCCCAGTCGGTTTCCTCCCGTGATATCCACAGACGTAGGCTAACATTATATAGGTACTGTGGTTATAATGTGGTTATAATGTTAACGTTACAGGAATCACGGTATCCAGATTAAGGTCCGTTAGCTACATCCACGCTAGTTCAGTTAACAGATGGGTATGATAAAGCATTACTCATATCATTTTGCATCAACATTAATAGGTAAGGTCGGTCATTTGAGTTTGTTTAATAAAAGTTCAAAGGCCATAGTTCCCTTAAAAATTTCCAGTAGCCTATTTATTCTGTCCCCGGCAAGTTTTGACACGACTGTCAGGATGGCCGAGCGGTCTAAGGCGCTGCGTTCAGGTCGCAGTCTCCCCTGGAGGCGTGGGTTCGAATCCCACTTCTGACAGACAAAATCTTTTTCGAAGTATTGGCCGTGGATGTTTTGCATTAACGCTTACAACACACAAGAAAGATTGTACGATCAGTGGAAACCGTATGCCGCCGCTAATATTTCTCTAACAAGTCTAAACTGTGCAAACAGTTTCATATTATTTCATAAGTTTGCAGCACAGTAGTAATTCTGTGTTAAGTAAGGTCAAACAGCTACCCATTCAAACACAGCAGGTTTTCAGAATATGTGGCATATTAGGGTTACAAACATGTTAATGATTACTCTTAAGGTAAGAGAATTAAGGTAAAATGTTCAACTAGCCTATCAGAAACATTGAGAAAGGTGTGTGTATTATGTTACCCGTGCCATATAGTTTTGTTTTTTATATATATATATTATATACACATATACAGAAAAGACTTAATATTTGTAAGTAATTGTTTTAAAAACTCAAGAAATCATTATGTAAGATGCTATTTGCTTGAGCAGCTTTTAATTTGGGAACATGTAATGACAAATATTAGCAACACGAAGTGACAGTGATTCAGCAGCTAGAGGCACTGGCAACGTCCTCTTAGAAATATTTAGACATAGTTATATCATAATAATATTTCATGCTAATAATTCACTTGGTTTTACCCCTTCCTTGTGATTGTCACTGTGACAGGTAAAGGTTAACAAGTGAACAGAGGTGAAGTCTGTCTGAACACTCATTATAATGAGACTGGCTCGGGCCCTTTATCATATAGATTAAACTCTAGTGATGAAGACATTAATTTGTTCTTGATCTTTTCCTTTTTTCTCTTATTCAACATGCAGGGACAGGTGGCCTGTGCAAGGTGGTTTCTGTGTTGCTTCAGGTTGGATGGATAGTTGGAGGTTTGAACAACTTGGATAGACAGATTTCATTTTTTTCTACTTATTTTTAAATGACTCCATGAATTTCAGATAGGTTCCTTCACTGAACCTGGAAAATCTGCATCAACTGAGCTTGCCGGTATTTGGATGCCATGATATTTAGAGATTTACTTTTTTGTGAAAGCTCAACTTTTTCACTGGTGTGCAACCCAAATTAACGCACTTACACAACAATCTTGTGTAATCCCATTCCCATTCTCTTCAAGTGAGAATATTTACTCCAGTTTATCACAAATGCAACCTTCACCTTGAATTTAAAGTTGCTCTTAGTGGGACCAACTTCACTTCAATTTCCTGGGTGTAATGCTTTAGCAGGACTGGGATGTAACATAGCAAGAATCCCGCTAGACAGCAGGGTGCACACAAATTACCCCTGATAGTTTAACTGCAGCCAGGAGGAGGGAGTGCCATGCCTGACCATCAGGCATCACATGTGTGAGCTTGATGGACAATGAGCTTCAGGATGTCCTTCTGTGAGTGTGTTCCAAATGGCATCCGCATGCTGAAGGCTTGACGGGCAACAGGAGGCTAAAACGCTAATCACATGTAGACAATTTAATTTAATACAGGTTTTGTGAAGTTATTTCATTGTCAGTTCTTTAGTCTCTGAGATAATCGGTAGTGGTGGGGTTATTTATTAGGTCGATTATGAAGTTACAAAAGTCTGTGTAATTTGTATAGGAAAAAAGTTTCTGAATTGAGACATTTAATTAAACGATAACTCATCTCTGTCCTAACTGCGATCCAGTCAGAGCTGACTCAAACTGATAGTAAGCCCTTTCCTTTGCTTCTTAGGAACAAGAGGAGGTGCCTTCCCCGCACAGGAAAACTCACAGTCACTTCTTCTGAGTCACTCATTCACTATCATGACTCAGAAAGGGATCTCTTTTCTCTCATGAATCAGGGCACAGCAAACCTGGTCACCTTGAGTCACCTCCACCCCACCATGACCCATCAAGTTCCTTAAGACTCAACCCACAGTGTGTGTGTGTGTGTGTGTGTGTGTGTGTTTGTGGGAGTGGGTACTCCTGTGATTAAGAACCTCCTGACATCATAGGGAAGGGTCAGCCTGCCATCTGTAAATCCCTGATAAGGGTAACCCCTCTTTCGCCCTTAAAAAGAGTGAGCTGACCCCCAGTGATATTTAGACAAGGAAAATACAGTATCTAAAGCAGCTTCAAATACCTTTCACATGTGACAAATGCAGGTGGAACATGTATGAGATGTTTCTGCCCTTGTGAGTATTTCACATGCTCGGCCTTTGGAGAATGTGCCAGCCAGACAGCAGGGCTGAAGCAGTCTAATTAGCCGGAGGCAGTGCTTTTTATTAGTATCACAGTACCCTGGAAAATAATAGGAAAAATGATTATTATTTGTAGAGCACGTTTCAAGATACTCAGAAACACTTTGCACAACAAATGTTTCTATGTTTCTGTCCCTATAACAAATACAATGGTTATGTCTGTCTTCAGCAACAGAAAACCTGTGATGCAACAACCCCAGAGATGTTTGTGGATACAGTTTAAAGTCATTCTAGGAAATGTACTGTAGGAAATTACTGAAAAAGAGAGGAAGTAAATTTAAAAAAATGAAATCTGTGCTTTGAAAAGTGATGTTTTAGTTATAGGTTAAGTCAGACCAGTTTTATTGATATGGCCTAAAATCATACATTTGTAGTGCAACCAATGTACTGTGTCAGAGACAACATCCAGCAAACACCATAAAACATCATGTCTAGTCATAGATTGTCACTGAGCCTTTTCTAAAAAAATGGTTGACTCTGTTTATGCAACGGTGAAGTCCAAGTCATGTGTCCAAAGCCTCAGCAGATTGCGGTCTAATCTCAGAGTGATTACCAGGGCTTTACATTCTATGTTTAGCTTCCCATGTGTCTGATTAACTTCTGGAGGGAAGCTCTTGAACTGGTTTGTCTGCTTGCTATAGCTCTGGGGTTTGTGTGGGAGTTTACCTCTTATATTCTGTAGCTTTTGGAACTATTAATTTACACTTTGGCACTTCTATCCTCTGGATTATGACTGTGGATCATGTGAGTACTTTGTTTATACACTGAACTGTGTATTTTGGCAGATTAAATGTTAAAATATGCACTAATAACTACATCAGTGGAAACTTTATATGCAGAAGATCAAATTAAGATAGAATGTCAGACATGCTGCATAGTAGTCTGTTGATGTGATTCCCATAAAGAAAGGCTGCAATAATCCATGTTAAACTGGAGGGACTCAGGTTGGCCTGTATGCCTCTGCCATATTTTTTAATAACTGTATTTTGCAAGTATGCCCTTCAGTATGGTGAGTAATCTTTGCCTCTTATATTTATTCTAACACTTTATTGGTACCTATACTGTTATCAATTTGCATAAAAGGATCTGCAAAATTTTATACATCTGTTTGTCTTTCCATTGCATTTTTATAATCTATAAATGTTTATATGTTCAGCTCTTAAAGGCTGAGGTTGGCAACATGACATATCCAGTAGCAGCATTTAGTATCAGTTACTTTTCTCTTATCCATCAAATGGCCAGCTACAGACAACACTTGCTGATTCTGTACAACGCAGCTATTACAAGAACAATGACAACAGCCAAACCTGTTCCTCATAGGTGTCAGTCAAGCTTGGCCTATTTTTTAGTCACAGAATTTGACTCATTTGTTTTCGCATTTCATAGTGGGCCTGCATCCCTTTCCATCAGGCAACAATGAATGATGTTTACCTCTTAGTATTGTTTTGAATGCATTGTGCTTATTGCAGATATTTGTGGTTTTGAAATATCATTCTTCCAGTATTGATACCAGGAAATGCCAGCTGAAATGTATT